CGACATTCTCATGGAATGGCTGCCTAATTTTAAAGTCAAGTCCAGATGTTCATTGCAAAAGAATCTAATAACAGCCCACAAAAGAAGAAGTGTGCCTATCACACAAACATGTTGGAATAGCCTGTGGAAGCAAGTTAGCTGACGGCTATAGATTTGTCAGGCTGACAATTCACTGCACATCTGTGTCTGCCAATATGGAATTTACTCAAAATTGCCTCTCTAGACACTTCTTTACATAACACATATTTAGCTTATTAGTGCTGTCATTTGGGAGTGTGGTCAGCTTTTGAGCAAAATCTCACTGAGTCCATTAGCACGGATCACATCGCAGCTGCCATTTTAGAAGCACGATGATTAGGTTTGAAGTTCAAATTATTTGATTTCACTTTAAGGCTTCAAAAGCAGGCTCTGGGGTAGATTTACACAATTAATTTTTACTGAGGTCTGCTGGGTAATTTACTGTAGTCAGAGAATCTTCACTAAGGTAAGGTAATTACCACTGGGTAATTTTATGGCACTCCATTCAGTACAAAGCAACATGTTGGCTGGTTGCTGCTCAGATAAGACCTGGAAGGAAGAGAAGATACTGCTTTTGGGAATCACAACATATCTGCAACACTGAGGAGGGATGAGAAGAATTCATTGACTTCCCAGATGTGGACTAGAAGTTGTACATGCCCTCAAAATGTCTTTTCAGGAGCGTGCATAAGGATTTAGACAATCTCTTAAACACTGTACTGAGAAGCTTTCAAAATTGAAGCACCGTACCCATCATTCTTTAATACAGGAACAAAGAATATATTCTTTGTTTAGTCTGAACACAGAAGTAAACAATGAAATTAAATATCCCTTTGAGGTTTGTATTTATCACTTACAAGAAGCACTTCCTAATAATCAGTGGCAGCTAGGCTGACAAGCAAACTTCAGAGCAAAGCCAGAGGGGATACAAGTCTATTTTAGGTTTGCTATTGACAGTAAGGGTCACAGGAAAAATAAACTCAGCAAGCAGTGTCATGCTACCACAAACCTCTGCTGGCCAAGCAGAAACTAAATTACAGCCCAACCTTTCAGCACAGCAGAAAGACTTGGGCAATTGGGCTGCCCTGCAGTGCACAGAGCACAACATACAGATGAACAAGATTAAGCACAAGTGAGACATAACATAAATTACAGGCAAATAAATCAAAAGATTGGAGGAGCTAATTGTCCTGTAATTGGAGTGGGGGTATGTTATGCTTTTCCCTTTTATTTTAATATTTTGAGTTTGCAAAATTAATCTGTGAAGCCCTGTAAAAAAAAAGATTGACCACTCTCTCCTTCAAAATAATAATATAGATAATCTCAACTGCCAGACGGAACTATAAGAATGAAAGGAAAGCAAAGAGCAGCAGGACTTAGGCACAATTTCTATCACATACACGTAAATATGAATAACAGAAAATAAAAATACTTTGAGTGTAAAAGTTTAGTCCTCAGCTTCATTTCATACACTGTAACACTACTAGCAAAGCTTATTTGCTCTCTCTATCACAATAATAAAATATAAGATTTGTGTAAGGGGAAGAAGAGGGAATAAACATATTCTATATCTGATGGCTTTAATTTTGTTAAGTTTACTTCCTACTAAAGTTGATGATAAAAGCAGCTGTGCGGGCTCATAAGCACTTCTATCTACATCTCTCCATGGACTAATTACCAATATCTGTTTCACACAGTCCCAGCATCTAAGGCAGATTTAATTTTATTCTATCTTTCACTAGGCATATATCAAAACCTGTCATTTCATTCCATTATTTTGCATTTTTTTCCCTCTACCTATCATCCACTGGATGCAAACATAACCCTGCACTTCCTACTGTTCTCTTTTATTTTCCTTTGCTTTTAGGTTTGTTTGTTTGTTTTGATGGAACCACAAATTTTGTCCATTGTCAGGGGCCAGCTGCTTGAAACAAAGCAGGCTTTTCAACTTTTAAGCATAATTATAGAGGGCGGAAATGCCTAGACAAGTTCTTATTGCCTTTTTCTTCTGACTGGTGATGATACACTGATAATTCATGAGCAGCATCTACGTACCACAGATAAAACTTTTAAGACTTTAAGAAGGTGTTTAAAACTCAAGTGCAGTTCTAGGGAGTGATGCCTCATCTTTGTACATTCATTCTCTGACAAACTGATGCTCACCCGTGCTGTTCTGTTTGACCATTTTAAGAGACTTGCTTATCATTCTCTCACTGTCTGCTAATTTTATAGATCTCTGGCACATTAATAGCAGGTGGCAATGCCACACTAACTTGGTTGTGACTTTGGAGCCTACAGGTTGTCAGATTAACAAATTCTCCTGACTTTGAGGTCCCATAATTCATCAACGTTGCCAGCACTATTTTTGTGCTGCTGCAAGGTGGCATTGAGGATAGATGTTGGATCAGCTTCCACAAGGTGCTGTGAGCATGATTCTTGTTGATACAAACAGGATATCTTTTACATGTTTGAAATCTTATGGACTGACAGAAAAAAAACCAGCTTCCAGTGGCTGCAGTAATATCCATGACAATGATGAGCAACACAAGGAGAATAAAATCAAGGAGTCCAGTTCCAGTGTAATGTACTCTATTTGGAGTGTTTGGTATTGCTCCAGTGAATCATTTTACACCCCTTTTTTTTTTAAGGCTCTCTGATGAACCATATCATCAGTTCCTTGAATCTTCTCTTTATATAAAGTTTCCTTTCAAAATCTGACCAGAATTAAGACTTCTGAGCATGCTGACCATGGAAATGTAGGTGGCAAGGACAAGGACAACAAAAGACTGATCTTAGTCTTCTTCTCACCAATAGCAGAATACTTCTTTCTCCATAGCTTTAAAGGGTTCTTCCACTCTCTGTCCTAAACTTCAGCTTCTTTTGGCACATTTATCACTTCTCTTTCTATGTGTAACGACTCTATATCAGTGCCATAGAATATTAAATTGATTGGTGGAAAATTAATGGAGCAAGCAGGAATCATAGAGAACAATTACTTGTGTATTATGGCTTTTGATAAGCTGGCAGTCTGAGGGGGCACTAACATAAAGCACACCAGTAATGGAAACGCCCAGTGCAGTCTGACCTTTTAGAGAACTTCAGGGAGGCCAGAGAAGAGGGAGAAGGGAGTTGTTCAAATTTTGGAGAAATAAACCTAGAGAAAGATGCACCTCACTGCTATTTAACAAGGTAGTGCCTCGCTATAAGTGCCTTGCTATAAACTGGAAGGAAATAACAAATATCCAGAAAGTTTTATATACAAAAGGCCACAAAAAGGCTTTTTTTGCCTTATGAGGCTCATGTGAACCAGAGCCCTGCCTTTACTTTCAGGCACATTACACTACATTGCAGCCATTTTAAACTCTTTTTTAATTTCTGCATCTAGTGTTTCATTAAATTTGGTTCATCTCCTGTGGTGCCAACATCTTGAGCATGGCACTGAAGAAAGAGCAAAGAATTAGGAAGTGAAGGCATGGGCAAGTTCAGTGGCTGATGGCTGTAGAATTTAGAATTCAAGGAAAGAAAGTTGTTAGGGATTCATGTTGGCAGCACAGATGCATTTGAATATATTAGGAGAAGTGTTTAATAGCCATTTGGTGAAGAAAGGCCCTGATCTCCCTCAGTAAAATGATGGCTAGAATGTTTCAGAAAACATTTTTAGCACATATGCTAATCCACATTCTCTTCATTTTCAAACATTTTTTGCAGATGGCATTTTTAACAAAGTTGTCAGCTTCTGTGTACAGAGTGCTTTTGCTTTCCTGCATTTTACATGTGCTGCAAGTCTTAGATGCTTATAGAAATATCCCTGTTTAGAAACAAGTTACATATGGCAGCAGTCCTTGACATGGTTCCTCAGGAACTGGTTGCAGTCACTGAACACTTGCCTGCTTCAGGGACAACTTGCCTGGTTTATAACAGATTGATTGTATCTGGTCTAGAAAGAGATTCGTGAAAGGTCTTTTGCCTTCCCTTGGTCTGCATTTTGCAGATGCCTGCTGCTGCTAGCTAGGCAATGAGATGTACAGAACAGATATTCTCCAGAAAAAAAACCAAAAAAACCCCAACAAACAACCAAAAACAAACCAACAAAAAAACAACAAAAAAACCAAAACCAACAACAACAACAAAGAAAAAACAAAACCAACAAAAACCAAAACCAACAAAAACCAAAACCAACAAAAACAAAAAATAAACTAACCCTCAGCTGGACCCTGGAAAATGGTGGCTATAATACTAGTGAATATGAAAATGTCTGCTGATGGTGTCTCTCACAGTTTATAAGAGACAAAAACACACTAGCTCAAAGGACAACCTGACTTCAGAGTAGGGCACACAGATAGAAAACCAGATTCATTCAACTTTGGAATAATGCACTGTGGAAAACATCATGTCCAGAAATGCTGTTTGAAATTTAAAAAATAGCCAGTATATAAAGATACAATACAACTGAAGTTTGGATTACCTAGATTAAAAAATTGTGTGGGCCAGGCCTAAAAGTAAATCTTAAAGAGCTTTTCTTCCTGAATCTGTGCTACAATAACACTAGTGGATTTCTTTAGCAGGATTCAGCATCATTGAGGTCATCTGCTACAGACTTTGCTTATTTATACCTTTGTATCAAGTTTCTAGAAACTTCCAAGGAAAACTGTGAATTAGGATGCTCTTGATGTTAATAACACATTTACATTGCTTCAATGATAACAAGAAAAGACAAATGCATTTTCTTTCCATGACTTGTCAAAGAAAACCAAGAACTTAGTCCCACAATGGTCTCAATGGTAAAGCTTTCATTAAACTTTTTTGAGTCACTCCTGTAAAAATAAAATAAAAACCACATCCAACCAACATATACAAACAACAGAACTGGGCTAAAAGAAAGGTGTTATGTATCTGCACAATACCAGAGAACTTTGCTCCAACAGACACTCTGAAACAAATCAAAACTATAAAAGCAAGCATGTATAATGTGTATTACTTACAGTGGATTTCTAGAACCTGCATTGCTATCTGAGGTGTAGAGTTTAGGGACTCATGATCTACTCTGCAACTTACAACTGCACCATCATCACTGCGATCTGCTAGGAAATCCAGCGTGCTGCTGACTGTGAATGTTTTACGATTTGCGTCTTCTTCTTTTAAATATTTAACATCTGAAAGAAAGAGTAAACAGTTAGTTGTCTTTCCAATATTTTTTGGAAAAAAAAGTAGTCCAGCATTAGACAGCTAAATTTTCTATCACAGTTGCTGGAATAAAAGCATCTTTCATTGTTGGTCTCTTTAATGTAAAAGTAATTCGTTATTCCTCAATTTGCTGTTATTGTCAGAGTAGAGATACATATTGAAAGAGAAAACTGGTTCCATGATACTGCATTCAAACAGAAATTCCATTCATTATTTCCTCTTGAATGTTTAGGTCCATATTTGGTATAAATGTTCTCTGTGGGTCATCTGAAAAAGATTGTGCTCTTGCCCCACCCTCATCACCTTACATATTCACAGTGTCACTGAAAATTTCCCAAGTTCATTCTCACAGCCTCTCACAGTAATGCAATACATGGACATTACTGAAGCCACGTGCACACAGATTAATGCTGTGTTTACTTTACTCATTGCTTATTCTGTTGTTTGGTTAGAATTATGCTAAATTACTGATAGAACCAGGTCATCAATGGTAATAAACAACTGTAAATAGAGCACGTCACAGTATTTACTGGAATATACAAATGAGTCCCAAGCATACCAGAAGTAAAATGACTGCAGATAACTTCCACTCACTGCTTTATACCATTCTAAATTGACCTGATACTTTTGCACAGATCCAAAAGTCTGAATTTTCAGACCCGACATTGCAGTGGAGGGAATTTTCAGCTACACTTAGGAAGCACCATCTCATCTCAAGGTTAAGATTCACATTCAGAACATTTTGTTGTAAGAAATACATGCTAGATCAGAAATGAAGATCCAAAAGACTGAGCATTTGAGTTAAAATGTCTGAATGTATTAACTGGAACATGAGATCTTCTTACACATACTTTAGAATTGTTTTACTTGATTCCCAACTACTTGTGATACTTATTGATTTTAGTTTATTTCAGAAAAAATTGTAAGCTTGTTATATTGATTTATTGCAGTGAAAGCTTGAAAAGACATCTATAAATACTTAAACATATATATTAAATTACACTGAGATTTCATATGTCCTCTGTGCCCTAAAAAAAGTGAGAGGTTTCAGTTTTACAAATTATACTAAATCCCATTAGAGAACAGAATGACCTAAATAAAATTTCCATGAAATATCAATTTTAGAAAGAAAATCTTCAATGGCTTAAGCTACATCATTTTAGATTAAAAATACCTCTGACATCAGAGAGGTGGTCTTTATCATTGTCTCCAGACAGACAAGGACACTTTGTAGTTATACAGTTTCCATTTTTCCCTAAAAAATAATTATTTCTTGCACACGAGAATTTTTCTGCCTGTTTGCTGCTAAGTTTTAAAAGATTTCCATTTCTGCCATGGTCACGATTAATATTTAGGGATTAGTAGGTAAGAGACATATTGACCAGAGCTAAAGCAAAGTTAATCAAACAACAAATGTCTTCACTAATATTTAAAGCAAACACATGTGATTTTGTTCCCAGAGTTAGGTTTCCACATTTAATAATAAGCACCTATATAGGTTACATTCTGCTTATAAGTAATGTGCACATCCCTTTGCTTGCTGACTTCAGGTGGGGGATAGAAGACTCCTGAAAACATCAACAACTTTAATTTTATTGAGATGTTGTGGATTTTTAATCCTTTAGAAAAACAAAAGCAGTTAATTTCCTAAACTGATGTTGAGAAGTCCCTCTCTAGTTATCTACTGTGTGAAAGAGTTCAACTCTTAGAATTAACTTCCTCTGCAAAAAGGGCAGTGATAAGATTCTACAAACTATTAGCATTCTAGAATCTTCACCAAAAGAAATTTTTAGCTTATCCTCCTTACCAGCTGTATTTTCTTAGCTATTTCTTTATGGTAAATGAAGGCATGATTGTAATATGTTATAATTGAGTGCAAACCCATCTGGATGTAAGAATGGTGGACATCAGCTACTGGGTATACACCATGACTTGAGATATTTTACATAATTTTTTAATATGTCAGTTATAGCCTACTGCTTCATTTGTTTTGTTGCTTCTCCTCTCTCTCCTAAATATTCTCTTGAAGAAAAGGTTGAAAAGAAATCCATGACACATGCCTTTTGTGTGGGAAGCACTGTAATTTAACAGGCTGAAGGGATACAGCTTTATAGAGGAGGACCTAGGGGTTGCAGGACATGTTGAACATTAGTGAGCACCATGCCCTTGCAGGGCTGGAAACTAAATCCCACTGCCTTGCATTAGCAAAAGCGCAGCCAGAAAGTCGAGGGAAGTGATCTTTCTCTCTTTGGCACATGCATGGCTACATTGAGAGTATCAGGCCCAGTTTTGGGCTTTCTGAAGAGAAAAATGTATACAAACATTGAAAAACACTGCAATCAGTGGAGCTGTACAAGGAGATTTTAAGAAAGTTGATATTACCCAACCCAAGGAAGAGAAGACTAAAACCAGATCAAACTGTTGCTTTAAAATACATAAATTATGGCCAGAAAGAAAAAAAAAAAAGCCAGAATCCCCCCAGAGATGTCCAACAAAAGCTGAGGGGC